ATCATCCACCCACAGGGCCCCCCTTCCCTCGAAACGATTTGATCTGCGTCTTGGAGATTCATATTGCCCCGCTTCAGCTGCACTTTTAGATGATCTTTTTACATGCAAAGGATTGGCGAGCGGAAATTAGATGAGATGAGATGCTTAGGGGGACGACAAGGCCAACAATCGATTTAAAGGGTTGGTTGGAAGGCCTAAAGAGGAAAGAGGTGATGTGGCCGCAGTTGGTGGTGAGCGGAGATAGTTTGTCGTCCAGTCTCTGGCCCTGCAACATGCCCCCACTAGCCACACCACACCCCACGCCCCCCTTAAGCCGCCGCTCGTGGCAGTGTAGTTGATGCCAAGGCTAAGGGGCGTGGTGCCTCAGGCGAGCACAGGCGCATAAGCCGTATGTCCAACATCTCACTCTCGTGCTCTCTCCTCTTTCCACTTCAGCATTAGGCTGATCTCACTACGACACGCTACACACTTATTGTCCTTCCTTCGAATCGAGTGTTCATATCGTGCTGTTTGCAATTCACCTTCTCTACGTTCCTCTTACCTTCCAACAAGCGGGCGGCAATTCACGCTCCACGACTAGGAAAGGCGACGTCGACGTTCGCCCCTAATCGCTCGCACTCCCATTTTCCGCCCACACACCTACCACACACCATTCCACAATGCGTTTTCGCAGACGGCCTTACGTGCCGCTTCTTCTGTTGCTCCTCCCCGCGCTTACAGCTTCTCTCACCATCGAAGGCGACAAGCTGAAGCCAGACTTACTCAAGCCAACCAAAACCGCAGCTGCCCGTCTTTCAGCACCCTCGTCAGCTTCGGGCAGCAAGTACGAAATCGGCACCAAAGACGCACCGGTCGATGGTCTAGATGGCAAGCCTCATGCCGGACCCTTCGTGGGCTCGGAAGGCAAGAAAAAACCCTCGAACGCCGTCGAAGATCTGGGCGGTGTGAAGAAACCTGTGGCCGGAAGTTCGCGCGAACGCGTGCTTAAGGACAAGTGGGAGGTGCCGCCGCATGATATCCCCGATAGCGTCATGGACGACCGTGACCGCGACGCGCCGAAGCGAGGACCTACGGGCACGGAGGGCGGCGTGTCGGAGAAGGATCGCGATCGAAAGGCGAAGGAGAAGGAGGCCGGTGGTAAAATTGAGAAGAAGCCTGATGCGCCTAAGGAGGCACCGCCGCTGCCGGTGAGCGAGGAGGCGAAGCTGCGGAAGGGCAAGGGGAAGGGAAGGAATGAGAAGGTAGTTAGTAATGAGGAGGTTGAAAAGCCGAAGGGCGCAATTGGGATGGAGGTCGGTCGGTCGAATGGCTCTTCCTACTTCACTGCTAACTCCTGCAGAAACCGGCCGACCTCCCGGACAAGCCGCACAACATCCCGCACCCCAACCCTGACACCGCGCCCGCGGTCAAGCATCCGAGCACCCACGACGATGACGATGAACAATCGGATGATGAGGGCGAGGAGCCGGAGGGCATCATTCAACCCCTGCACTCCCTCATCCTGTCCTTCACGATGATTATATTCTCCGAAATCGGCGACAAAACCTTCCTCGTCGCTGCCCTGATGGCCATGCGCCACCCGCGGCTGGTCGTATTCTCTGCCGCCTTCTCCGCCCTTATCACCATGACTGTCCTCTCCGCCATCCTCGGTCACGCTGTGCCCACCCTACTCCCGAAACGCCTCACCAACTTCGCCGCTGCTATCCTGTTCCTCGTATTCGGCGCAAAGTTGATGCGCGAAGGCCTCGCCATGAGCCCTGACGAGGGCGTCGGCGAAGAAATGAAGGAAGTGGAAATGGAGCTCGAAGAGAAGGAACACCTCGCGGCCCGCGCCTCGCGCCGTCTCTCCGACGTTTCCCCCTTCGCCCTCGAGGCCGGCCGCGCTCGTCGCAGTCGCTCCGACTCCCGTCTGCCCGCGCCGCGCAGCCCGTCCGAGTCGCCGGTACGCGGTGCCCGCACACCTGCCGCCGGCACTCTTGCGGGTCTGAATAATCTGCTCTCGCTGTTGCTCAGTCCGGCGTGGGTGCAGACGTTCATCATGACCTTCCTTGGCGAATGGGGCGACCGCAGCCAGATTGCGACGATTGCGATGGCGGCGGGGCAGGATTACTGGTGGGTTACAGGAGGTGCGATTATTGGGCATGGGATGTGTACTGCGGGTGCCGTTATTGGAGGCCGCGCGATTGCCGGTAGGGTTAGCATGCGGGTTGGTGAGTCTCCTGGACATCCCTTCAGTGTGTGGACGAGGCTAATATGTCACAGTGACGCTTGGTGGCGCAGTTGCCTTCTTGATCTTTGGGGTAATTTATCTGGCTGAGGCGGCATACTCAGCCTAGTTCATGGCCAATTATTCTTCGTGAGTGAACGAGCGACTCAAGGGATCTTATAGTCAGAAATCGGGTTGACGGCCATTGGCGCGACTCGGACTTCCTCCACCCCCTCCTTCTTTTTGGATGGGCGAAAACGGGCTTCTGCTTTGTAATTTTGCTGCACGGGTTGGCTTTGCACTGCGATGCGGATGCGATGGGCTGGATCGGGGTCGGTGCTGGCGTGGACTTGTTATTTTTTGGGATCTTCGTTATTGCCTCGTGGACCGATGTGTACCTGAGGATAGGGTTTTGTTTTTGGGAGGCGGCCTGTGGGATGGGGCATGCGGTACTGCAATACAGCTTAGGGGAACGGATGGCGTGTGGCCAGAGTGGGGACTGCGAAGTCGATACTTGCAGTAGCGGTAGTGTACTCGTATTCCAACACGCGGTGAGCTGTAAGGCTTGCGCTGGAATCCATGCATTACCTCTTGAACACGGTGTGCTTTAAAAGCGGCGCCGGCCTGGGTCAGTGCCATTATGGACCCATATACGCCGTATTGGTCTAGTGACGCGTAAAAACTATCCTTGACTAACATTAACCCAACTCATCTACGTCGTATCATACGACACGGCCGTTCAGAGCTCATAATAAGCATACTAACACACGTAAAGGTGCAGTCACGACCCCCAAAACACCACCCTCCGTACCCGGAACGCATCTAACGAATAAAAGCAAGCACACCTAGTACTTCTGCTCCCCGAACGGCTTCTTCGCCTTAGCCGCCTTTTCAGCATCCCACATCCAGATTCCCCCCGTCTTGTCGACATCCAAGCTCTCTCCAATCTTACCCGCCAGCCGCTCGAAAACAGCATGACTCTCAACGCGTGTGAAGAAAGTGCGCTGCCACTCCCGGCCCTGTTCCTTTTCCTTGCGGCGCATCTCACGCTGCCTCTCCTCGATCAAGGTCTTCTCGCGCTGGGTGACGTCCATGTCACCGGCTGCGATGCCCTTGGCAACCTTGGCCCAGGCGCGACGTGATTCGAGCTCGTCCTGCTCCTCGAGCGGGGCGACTGTGAGGGGCGTGGTGGGGGAAGCACGCGAGTCGTACTTGTCGACTTCCTTCTTTGTCTTCGCGTCCTTGATGATGAAGGTATTGGTCCATTGCCCCTCGATCGTGTACAGCGGCTCCTTTTCGCGGCCCTCTGGGTACAACGTTGCTGTCACAGAGTTCTTCTTGCCTGACAGCCAGCCCTTGCCGCTGTAATCGATCTTTGCCGTGTAGCCGCTCGAGGACTGGATGTAGGTCGATTTCTCCAGCTCCACAAACGGGGAGCCGCTGTATAGGCCTTCGATGTGAAGAGGCGGCAGCGTGATCAGGTAATCCTCATCGAATGCATCGATGTGCAGAATGGCGTGGCCGACTTGCTGCGGAATGTTAGAAGTGCTGAATCGAACGGCGGGGACCACACACCTTGACGTTGATAGTCAGCGAGCGCGATATCCAGGCGTTTTGTCCACAGAAGCCTTGCAGGCGCACTCCATGCTCCTTGTTCGAAATCGAATAGGCCGTGATAGGCGGGTGGTGGCTGACCTGCTCGCTCACGAGCTCCGTGGTGCCAGCGGCATCAGTCCAGCGACCGAGGAACAGTTCACCCAGGAAGGGATTGAGAGGCTTCTTCTCGCTGCCCAGGCTCTCATTGCGACTAGAGTACTGCTGCTTCAGCGTGCTGATGAACCACTTGAGTACGAGGAGGGCGCGCTTCGCAGGGTCCTGCTCGTGGGCTGGGGCGACGAAGAGGGAGGGGTGCTCGGCCCAGTAGGAGGAATACTCGACCAGTGATGTGCTGCTGAGAATAAAAGGTGGGGCGGTGAGCGAAGATAGATCGCCAGAAAAGGAGGTTATAGACTGCGCGGTGGGCGGGCGGTTAGCATTCGGGACGCGGGGTGCACAGAGCGGGAAACAAAACCTTGAGGAACGAGGACCACGAGCCTTTCGAGGCGGCCGGGACAGCAGAAGCTTCACCCTTTGAGTCAGACATGGCGATAATACTGAGTGGAGAGGTGGGAAGGCAAGGAGAACGGACAATGGGAGAATGCAAAAGGTTAAATGGGTTGGGGGGAGGTCTACGTGACCGCGACCTCCACACCTTCAAGCGAGATGGTGCATGTGGCGCAGCACCCCGGGCGATGACGTTTGTGCCTTGCAGACTTGCACTTGCTCTTGCACAGTGATGAAATACGGCAAGATAACGGACGTGACGCGCGGCATGCCATTGAAGACACGTATACGGACTCAGGAAATGCTCTGCATCTTGTAAAATGCCGACTTGTTCACGATTATGTCTACGTTGTCGTAAAGCTATCCCCGTGCTGAGATGAGACCTCGCAATCGCATGGCCGCCACATCCATGCAATTCTTTAATCCCATCGAACCAGCAGCTGGGATTCGACGGGCTACAGATGCATCGCATTGGCAAGGCTTGTACCCAACCGCCGATCTGCCTGTCCGTCATCATGTTCGTCATTTTGCATGGACATCTTACCAACGTACCCTCGTACAGAAGTTAAGCATCTACGGTAAAGTGGTACAGCATCGTGCCCTGGGTCCCCAGACGGCCAGAGGACATCATCCAAGTCAAATCGAGGCATATCAAATACCGACTTTCGGATCACTTTCCAACAATCTGATTGGTTCAGTGGTGTAGTTGGTTATCACACTTGTCTAACACCTTTCTTAGCTTGAGAGATGTCGGACACAAGTGGTCCCCGGTTCGAGTCCGGGCTGAATCATTTTTCTGTCCTATTCTTCTCTTTTTGCTTCATGCAGGACAGGACCCAGGGACAACTCGCATCGGAAGCTTCGCAGGTCTAAAACCTCAATTCCCTTACCGCAAGTCGAGCTAACCACTGACCTGATTAGCATCTCACTCGAGGCTTCCGGAATTCCACCTCACATCATAATAGCTTAGCATCGGGCTACGCTCTATAGTCGACGTTGACAAGCATTGCAAGTCCGATGGATCGCCTACTCGGCTGGAATATATGTGCGAAGTATCCCATCAAGGATTCATCAGTAGCAGCACCAGAATACGCTCTACTCACAGAGAGGATGTGGTGATGGCGCCGCATGCCGTGCACCAATGCTCACGTCGATGAGTGGACGATATCTTTGACATCCGCAGGAACTGGAGTGTGGTTGGCTGGTCGTGTTCAGTCGCTACCACTTCGTCCCAGGGAAACTGTCTCCAATGCATCCGGGGAAACGTGGTTGACAGACTACTCGTTGTCGTCACTCAATTCCGTGTTGATCTTCCCCAACGTCCTCCCAATCGGTCTCTTTACCAGTTCATGCTGTATGGTTCCTGGGGCCAGGCATCAGTAGCCACGTCGCTCCGTTTGCGGCGACCCAGAACTGCATTATGATGGGACTCACTGGCGCCCTGATCGAAGGAGGCTCGGCCAGGATGCAGGCGGGGCCACTCAAGCGCCGCAGCACGAACGTGAAGACCAGTTGAGTCGGGATCGGTCCTTGGGCCTGACAGAGGACAGTTACAAGCTAATCGTCGCCTGTGAACCGCCCCAGGCTCCAATCTAAACAACTCCAATGTGGAGTTGTTTTTCCGCTAGCACGGCCTTCGGCAATCCACAGAGAAAAAGCGGTGTGGAAGAGAGCGAGACAATATAAGGATGAGTGAAGCTCAACGCAAGTTGCATCCATTGCGATAATCAGTTTCCCATTTCGTTTGGTAGTTTTTGAGCTGTGGCATCAAATCGATTTGATACCTCTTTCATGTTACCCGTGCAACTCATCACCAATCTATTCCTTGTACGGCCAAAATGCAGATAAAAACCCAGCAGCTACCTCGACCCCTTAACAAAGAAAGTGCTGAAGAGTTTCGTCGCATGAAGAGACGGGCACAAATAAAAGCAGCTCTCAAAGAGATTGCTGTTGGCATCCAAAGAAATGCGGCCGCTATCAAACGGAATGATGTCACCCTCAACCGGAGTGATGTCGTCAAACACCAGAAAGCCGTCGTCGATCAGTTGGTTGTCGACGTCGAACAGTGGAACAAGGCACCACAGGCCCACCGAGAGAGCCAACGCATCTTCATGATGAAGAATTACCAAAATGGGATGCGAGTATTAGACCTTTATCTCGCGTCCTCGGTTCCGGCTCTCGCGCCGGCCCCCAGCCCCAGCACCGGAGACTCCGGATTCTCAATAGCTAACTGTCAACGTGCCAAATCTCAAGAGAGTCCGCGATCCGTGGAGTACCTGGACACTCTTCATATCCAAATTCGCCTCGGACACATACCTGCCCCCTCCGAAAAGTAGAATGTGTCATAGACGATGACGCGCCTTAGCTTAGCTCAGGCGGTACGGCTGTCATCTCAGATCGAAGAACGCGGCTGCTCTTACGACTTCACGAGCGAAGAGGGAGAACGCCACTTTGGATAGCCATGCCGCGCCCAGCAGGCGAGTTCGAAACTGCACTACCAATAAAGCAAGAAGCCTGTCTCCGAACACATCTTCAAGCTTAACGAGGCATATGGTGGACGTGTGATATTGGGGTTTGGCGTCGAGAAGGAACCTAGTTGATATTCTGGTCGTTGGGATAGTGTCAGTCTCCAGCGTCAAGCGGAGCTGATCAATCTTCTACTCGTTGGGCCAGCCCCAGTATGCGGTGTCGAGCGGGGCCGGTCAATCTTCTGTTCGTTGCGTTAGTCCTAGTATCCAGTGTTCATGAGATACTTGTAAAATCGGAGATGTCTTCCAGAGTGGGCTTCTTGCCTTGTTGGTGGTGCATTTTCGAAAGAGCGTTCTGGGCACGGTATACTTCACCGGAGTGGGACACTCCTTCTTCTAGGAACTCCAAGTCGTAAGAGCCATTACATACTTCGATCTATGATGATAACCGGTGCTCCCGTGTGACCAAATGCACCTTGTGACAGCCGATGTTATGAATTGAGGAAACGAATGTGCTTAGGAATGATGCAAAAGGGTTGTTGGCACAATGGATAAGAGCCACATTGTAGTCAATGGCTATTATTTTGATAGCAGGCGCGTTGGAAGTTTGATGCTTGAGATATATGAGTGATGGCGTTGATCGGACGTGCGCTGTTGGATGATGCGTTGTTGATAGGGCTGGCGTTCGGGGCTCCGTGCGACGTCTTTCACTGGCCGATTACTCGGCCTTGCAAGTGCCATATGAGCAGAGAAGTCTATGCCATCTCCTACCGCAGTGGGACAGCAAGGCAAGCATGGACATTTCCCAGTCGCATGGACCTGGACACCATCATCCAAAGTCCTCGAGGAAAGCCAAGATCCATCAAACCTTGCCATACTCTCAGTTTGATCCTTGGCCAAAGGAAGGCGCATATTGTTTCTCCCCTATTCGCGCGTGTGCGTACTCGCGGTGTCCGTGAGCTAGTTCTATTGCAAGGCTCACGAGGGGGTGCTTGGAGCAACTTGGCTAATGCTGCGAAACTCAGCATGCCAAACGAGCCGCGCGCCCAACGAGAGGAAACTTAGCCGGCGGCTCACGATGCCACTAGGTTTGGGGTTCTTCTTACCTCATATGAACCCCGAGGATATCATAGCACTAGTCATCTGCGTCGCTAGCAGTGGCCTGTTGCACGGTTACGACGATTCTCGCAGGAGATTCAATGCGATCATATGGCAAGACAAGCCTACAAGTTTCAAGCTTCGCCAAGCTCCGACTCGAATTTGCGGAGGATCGTCTTCAAAACTCTCCTGAGGCCGTCGGGCCGATCAGTTACGGACGTTACTGTAGTCGCACAGAGGATGCTTAACGATGCTCAGCGCGTCACCGCGGACTCGGCAGTCGAGACAAACAAGATTTTCCCCAGGAGCTTGGAAGGGGTGAGGCCTCGCGAAGACTTGCGCTGCTTGATGTTTGAGACACCGGTATCCGCATCGCTCTTGGAATGTGTGCCAGAACCATGGCTTCCAAGGAATTCCGGACTCCTTCTTTGCAGAGGCGGTTCCCTTCGGCAGTACCCGTACTCCTCATCGTGGATTTCATCAGCAGAGTTCTATTAGGGGATGTTGGCGCGTCTGCTCTTGGATCGTGGCGTCAATTTGGCCCGATCAAACATCTAAACTTGTACCTGTGTGAGCATGCACTTGGACCTGCAGACCGTGAGGCTCTTGGGTATTTTGCGGGGTTGAGACGGCGCCTAAGCCTTTCTTGGCCTTCAAGGGGTTGGTCCTTGTCATTTGGTGAAGTCGGAGGAAAACACTCGGCTCAACGTTTATCCCCACCCGACGTCGTTGCAACTAACTTTGGCACCAAGTGAGGTAAAGACGGTAGATCGATGAACTAGTTCTAAGACTGGAGCAAGGCTGAATATGCAGAGAGCACTTGGAACAAAATCTTCAATCATGCTTGATTCTCTTCACTGTCTTTCCAACAGACGCCGCAGTCTCCTCCACTACTTCCAAGCCACAATGACATCGCAAGTGTTCACCCCTGTTTTCATCGTGTTTTGGGGGTCTCCGGGCTCCGTTTCTGCTGCGCGGCAACCAATCGCCCAGTGTAACGTTTCCTCCGCTGAGACTCCATTGCACTCGCGCCCTTCACGTCGCGCCTCCCGCCCGTAACACCGTACGGGTAAACCCATCCTCCCAAAACCCAACACCGCGCCTAGAAAGGGAAAAAGCGTGGAGCGTGGCACACCCTTCCCTAACCCGCATCGGGCCTCGCGCCCCCCATTCTCGCGCAGCAACTGCGTCAGAAGTCGAACGCATAAGCAAAAACTTCCGGTTTGTTTCGCTGCGCTGGGCATCCAGTCCGCGCACAGCGATCCGCCACCCGGCCTCCCGTCCCAGGTTTGCGTCCCGTTTACGACACGAGAGGTACTATGTGGTCCCGGTAAGCGGTACAACGGCCGCACCACATGCTGAGCTTCCCTCAGCCAAGCACTCAAGGTACCGCTGGGCGCTGCGGCTCATGCGCGCCTTGCGGCCCCGCTTGGTCGGATCCTACCTCCCGGCGCCAGCTGCTGACCCTGCCAAGTAGGCGCGAGTTCCAGCGGCTCTGCGCTGTGGCCACTGGCGATCGTGCCGGTCGTTTGTGTTGCGCGGGGTACGGGCGAGGTGGTGTTGTGGGACGGAGGCTGGTGAGGTGGGGATGTGAGAGGGAGCATAGTATGCGACGACTCCTTGCTGGGCGGAGTTTGGAAGGCGAGGACATAGGCGGTTATGAACCGGTGTGGAGCGAGTATAAAGATCGGGGACATTCTCGTGGAATTGAACATCATCAGCTCCGGTAGCAAGATCTTCACAGCAAACGAACAGGCCTTCGTCTCTTTCCTCGCTTCTTTCACTTTCAACTCTCACTCTCTTACCCAAACCCCAAACTATCCTTTCAAATTCAAATTACCTGCCGGCAGGATGTACTTCTCTACTCCCATCGCTTTCGCCATTCTGGCTTTCACCAACCTCGTGGCTGGCCACGGCGCCATCGTCAAGGCCGTCGGTGACGCGGGTGGTGCCGGCAGCGCCATCGGCAGTACGTCCTTCCTATCCCCACCCACAACCCTCCTAACAATTTGCAGTTGACCCTGCCACTCCCCGCGACGGCACCGGCCGCAACCCCTTCCAGCAAGACAGCACTCGCTTCCGCGGCCAAAACAAGGCGACCTGCGGACAGACCCTCGGCGGCGGCGAAAACGACATCGAAGCCGGCACCCAGGCCGTCCTCCAGCAGAACGGCGGCACCCTGCCGCAGGTCACTGCGGGCGGCGAGCTGCAAATGACGCTGCACC